GTCAAACCCGCTCCTGTCACGCTCCGCCATCGCTTTTCATAAAATGAAACAGTCCTGCTGCCCCGGGCACCCTCTGATCTGTCACACCACCCCAGATCATCCTCCTGATCCTCTTCTTGCCCCGCACGTGTCCTCACTGACCCAAACCTTTAGACACGCTCTGGGCTTTTCTTCATCCCTCTCATCCCCTTCGCCTCTTGCAGACACAGCCCGGATCATGCCCAGAGCTCCAGGCTGCAAACAAAATCTACCAGGCTGCTCTAGAGCCAGCGTTTTAATTCTTCAGAGTCTTAACGACTTATCCTTTTCATGGCCTTGATGGCACAAGAACGAAGCCTTGACTAGAGAAGGATTTCGACATTTTTTGTCTGTCGCTCGGCTTCTGCTCTCGGCGTGTTCCGAGGCAGGGACAGGAAAATACAAAGTGGAATACTTGGTGCTTGTTCCCACTTTGAGAGAAGGAGGGAAATCAGAAGGAAGGATGGAAATCGGAAGCCAAACTGGTACTTCCAGTTTTCCATCTTTTCAGAGTATTCCCAAACCTCCACACAACAAACCAGAAAAATTATATATAAATTAAAGCTTTGTGCTTTATTTATATAACACAACTTAGCACACACAAAAAAATCCAACCCTAGGGAATAGAAAACCAAAGCCTGCGACATCTACACATTAGCTAAAATAGGGAGGGGTGCCCCTGCAAAGAGAAAGGGACCGTGAAAGCCAAGGTGACAGCCACAACCAGAACCAAAGCCCCTCAGGAACCCAGGCGAGATTTCTTCTCCTTCCCGCTGATATTACTCCCTTTTCTTTTCTGTGTGGTTGATTCACTGGGGGTACTTGTTTCGCTTTGGTTTATTTTCTCTTCCAAAGGAGCCTGTGAAAACACAAGAAATAAAAGCGACGGCTGTGAACGACTCTGTTTTACAGCCTCCGCGCCGCTGAGCAAACACGTTTCCATTTGCTCGAGCGCGATTTCTTTCTATGTGGCGACTCCGTGAGCTGGGTCAGGGTGCAGAATGGAGGCAGGGGAAGGGGAAGAGGAAGAGGAAGGTGGGGAAACCAGTCAGTGAAGGGGGAAGCAGGTGACACGGGGTCTGGCAGGGACAGAGCTAAGAAACAGAGAGAAAAGCTTTATCAGGCTTCAGTCTTACTCGCCCCTTCTCCTTGAGGAGCACTGCAGCGGTTCGTGAACAAACACTTTTATTTGGAAGGACTGAATATTAAAAAAAAATGTAATTAAATGCATATCCAAAATAAGAACAGAAGGGGAAGAAGGACGGAAGGGATGCTGCCAAAGCTGGCTGCACAAAGTGACAGGGAAATGCACGTTCAGAGGAGACAGGCTGCTCGCAAAGGCTGAGAAAGCAGAGCACGTGTCTTACCCTCTTCTGGCTGGCGTGTTTCTCAGTCCACTCTCTGGCATTTAGCAAGAACAGCGGCTTGTTGTACTTGTACTCCGCAGACTAAATGCGGCGGGGACGACAAAAAGACAAGAGATATGATTTAATGCGAATGTCACGCTGAGAAGCTGGGACTAAGCTCTGGCCTCCTAGAACACAACCAAAACCACTGCGGCATGAAGCATAAAATTTGAGTTTGCTTGCTTTAGCAGGCTCGAAGGGAAGACCTTTACCATCTTTTTTCCTGTTACCACACGCCCCGGCTGCTCCAGGGAAAGGCAGCCGTGGCCCCAGGCCTGATCCAGATCAGGCTATGCCGCTACAAAATGCGCCAGCGTAATAATCCGGAGCGAGTGAAGTGGAAGTCCAGCTCAAAATCCAGCTCAAATTCCAGCTCAAATCTAACAGAGCGCTCCTCCCCAGCCTGTGCCCGCGGCCACGAGAGAGAGGCAGAGGAGCTGACGTACGATGTCTGCCATGAGAGGGTCATCGGGGTTGGGCTCCGCCATCAGCAGCTGGATGGAGGTCAGCAGCGTGGAGATGTTCAGGGAAGGTCTCCAGGCGCCCTTCAAGGAAACGGGGCGAGAGAAGCCGTTGAGCGGAAAGAAACCTGCTCCTGAAAACCTCAGGGCTTCAACCTAACCTGCCCACGAGCTGCCTCAGGGCTTAGAGAGTTTAAACCCCCCAGGGGAACCACCCGATCCATGTCCCGCGGAAGCCCGACCCGCAGCCACGGGCTGTTTTGGGGGCCACCCTGCTGGGGTCAGGGCTGTGTGCTTTCAGGGAGCCACTAAACCAACCCTTAAAACCTTGGAAATTTTAATGGAAACAAAGCAGGTCATGTTCTAGTCTCTAAACAAAGGAGATGCGGCTCAGAACAGTTACCCCCGAGCTCCCGTGTAAATAAGTCAGTAGCAAAGAGACATTCAATGAGGCTTTTACACGAAAAAGATCAGGAGCTCATTATCCTCTTGAGGCCCAAGAAGCGCTCTCTTACCTTGGGAGGTAATTTAAGAACATCCAGGCAAATCCTTCCCGCGGAGTCAATGTTAGGATGATAAATAGGGGTGAGAAAACGAATCTTCGGAGGCTCAAACGGGTACCTTTAAAGGATAAGAACAGGGGAAATAATAATAAGAACAGGTGAAATAATTAAATTCCTTAAATGAAGGGTCTCACCTCATCAACCACCTTTATTTTTTTGGTGAGAGGCTGAAGAAAAGACCAGAATGGCAGCACTTAGAGCAAATATCTTGCCCCAGCTAAGTTACATTTGAAGGAAGCTACTTAACTGGATGTCGCTGCCCACTTACCTTTCGGGCACAATTATTTCCAGGTCGAATATTCCTTTCTCATATGGTGTGTCTGCACCTCCTAAAATTTCTTTAAAAAGAGGCGAAAACATGTTACATTCAAAAATCGCTTGGATTTGTCCAACAGTCTCCACATAACGCCCGTGGTTCCATAACGCTGACACTGCTCAGATCCAGGAATAAAAAATCCCAGTGTCTGATCTGAGACCAGTTACACCCAACGGCAACCGACACTGCTGGCAGACTGACCCAGCCACAGGCCAAGCTATGTTTAAAGAAAACCAAGGGGAAAAAAAACCCCAAACAAACCAAACCCATGCAAAAACCCATTTTCCTAAAATTCCACACAATTTATAACTTCCACCCAGCAAATCCAACCCTAGCAGCAAACTCTGCAGCAGCCCTCGCCGCCACCGGAGAGGTACGTACGCGCTCGCAGGTCATCCAGGCGAGTTTCGCTTTGCCAGCAGGTGATGCCCGGAGGTGGCTCCGTGGCCAAGAGCGAGAGCTCCCTCTTTAGCCTTGACGCTCTTTGCATCGCGCTGAAACCCCAAGAGAACGGATTTTAGCACTGGCAAAAGTAGCTTTTCAAACCCAGCGCTTAACGTCGCGACTTTTTGGTTTGGTTTTCCTTTTGACCAAGGAGAATTAACCTGGGTTGCAAGTTGTTATTCTGACCAGAGTCTTGGAGCTGAGCCTGTTCCTGGAGCTGCTCTTACAACCACCTGGAGGGGAATAAACCAAACCATTTGAGTTTATAACCAGTCCTGCTCCCCAGCTGAGCCTAATAACCCCCTCCCCAGCCTCCACACCCCCAGCTGGGCTGACGCCAGCCCTGGGACAACCCTTTGGGGTGAAACACGGCCCCTCCACAGGTGAGGGCACCCATTGCCCTGCTGGGGGCACCCA